AACTGTCCCCATCAGAGTGTCCCTTACATCAACTGTCCCAATCAGAGTTCCCCCTTACATCAACTATTCCTATTAGTGTTCCCCCTTACATCAACTGTCCCAATCAGAGTTCCCCCTTACATCAACTGTCCCAATCAGAGTTCCCCCTGACATCAACTGTTCCAGAGTTCCCCCTTACATCAACTGTTCCTATCAGAGTTCCCCCTTACATCAACTGTCCCAATCAGAGTTCCCCCTTACATCAACTGTCCCAATCAGAGTTCCCCCTTACATCAACTGTCCCTATCAGAGTTCCCCCTTACATCAACTGTCCCTAGCAGAGTTCCCCCTTACATCTGTTGTTCCCATCAAGTTTCATGGATCAGTTGGATGCACTCTCAAGTGATCTGGGGGGGCACAACTAAAATCTGGGGGTACATAGCCCACCCCAGCACCCCCCAGATCCGGGTTCAAGTGAATGGGCCTCCATATGCGCAACACCTGGAAATGTGCAAAACAAAAAACCCCACGATCAGTGATGCACGCTCCCACTATGTGAAGTGTGTAGGGGGCCCAAATCACTGGGGGGCAGAGGAAGGAGAGACATCTCAAACCCCCCCCCCCCCCCCTCTGAGCCTGTCTGATTTCTGGAGCTGGATTCTCAGTTGGCAGGACTTGGCATAGCAGCCAGGCATGGAGCATTTTCAGGAGTCCAGCCCCCCCCGTCTCTGATAACTGGTGTGCTGTAGTGACAAGCCCGATCTACATTCTCCGTCCATTAGAGGAGGAGTCAGGCACCTGGCAGCCCCATAGCTCTCAGATGACAGTCAGGTGTACTAATCAATGACACGGCTCTACTGTAATCGGCGTCCGCTCGGCTCAGGAGACCAGCTCATCACACTCTCAATTAGAGGACCGCCGGAGACAGACACCTGTCCATCAACCTACTCCCGCCTTCAGACCCGCCCATCTGACATGTCCATCATCCTACCCCCGCCTCCACACCCGCCCATCTAAGCTGTCCATCATCCTACTCCCCGCTTCCAAACCCGCCCATCTGACCTGTCCATCATCTTACCCGCCCGCCCCCGGTGTCAGGCGCTGGCTTTCCCTTGGCTAATTTTATGATTCCGCCTGAGCAATCAGAGAAGGGGATGTACTGAGGCGGGGTCAGCCCTGGAGCAGAGCGTGGATTGGCTCTGGAGCGGAGAAGGGATTGGGCAGGACCAACTGGGAACAGAAAGAGGAATAGGCTGGGCTAGCTCCGGCGCAGAGAGTGGATTGGATTGGGCGGGGCCAACTGGGAAGAGGAGACTGGAATGGACTGGGCGGGGCTAGCTCGGGAGGAGAGAGGGGATTGGGCTGGGCGGGGCTAGCTGGGAAGCAGCGCTGGGTTTTGCTCCGTCAGTAACACATGTCAGGGTAGAGAGAGCGGAGGGCTCACACAGGGAACAGCAGCAGCACGAGAAGCGGCCTCACGATCGTCATCGCTGTGCACACGGCTGGACTGACCCGCAGGACTGTGAGCTCCGGAATCCTGGGACTTCCCCCGATCTCCGGACAACTTAGGGCTGTGTAGAGCCGAGGATCTGTGCGTGTTGGAGGACCTGGCTGGGATCGCACAGCCGCCTTATCTGCGGCAACTAGCAGTGGACGTGTGAGAGTGGTGTACGGAGCCTAAGTGGAGGGGGCCCGAGAGGTAAGCCTGATCCTTCCCTCCCCTCTCTGGGGGCCCTCTGGACTTCTCACTATAGGGCAGCTGTCTGGGGCCCCGGAATCCAGGGGGCTCCATAGTGGTGAGCAGTGAATTCCACATCTGCAAGCCTTCTACTTTTCAGAAGGTCAGCAGTGACAAGCTTCCCATTCCTTCCAGGAAAGTTAGGAGGATCAGGAGATCATATTTAGTGTGTGTATGCACCCTCCATGTAGCTGGGAGCATGACTTCCATAGGGATCCCTTACCCCCATAGGGATCCCTTACCCCAGTGATCCTCCACCATGGCATATGACATTTGGGAAGAGTACTCTGCTGCATAACACCAGGCTTCACATCCCCTAAAAATGCTGAATGTCAAAGATTGCCATGTACCCCATGTGTGATCCAATAGAACACGCTGTTGGTAAGCCCAGCCACATGCACCCTCTTTCATTTCTAGTCATCTGCGTTCTTTGGACATTTAAAGTTTTTAGAGGGCAGTCTTAGTAAATATGTCCTATTAGGGCTCTATTGGTAGATCTGTCATAATCGGCACATATCAGTAAATGACCTGTTTGGGGTTCTTTTTAGAGCTCTGTAAACGTTCTGTGGGATGTATTAGCAAGCATGTCCTGTTTGGGGTCTGTTAGAAAATACGACACATTTTGAGATGTGTTAGTAAATCCATTGGGCTCCTAGACAGTATTTTCAGGCTGTGGATGGGTTGCCCTGGACATGGTGTTGGCCCCAGAGCTGCTGTCGGTAGGATTGGCCCCTGTAGCCTTGCTCTCCTGCTTCCCCTGCAGTCTCTGGAACTCCCAGCACTTCTCATGGAACAGAACCCTCTTGCAGATAATCAGCTTCTGTGGAACATATTTGCCCCCCCACCTCCTTCCTCTTCTATATTTCCTATGGAAAGGATTCCCTGGCTGTCTTGTAAATTGGGAGATGGCCATCTACCTTCCTTTCCGTAGTCTGATCTGGGAAACCCTCTTCTTTTGCCTTCCCTTTTTTTTTTTTTTCTCTCCCCCTGAACTATGGCACAGAGATCAAAGTGAGCTCCACTAGCCTTTGTGTCTCCGAACTGGGAATCCAGTGACTTGCCTAATTAAAACACAGCCTTGAATTAAGAATCTATTTTTTTTTTTTTGTATTACAAACGACCCTCCTCCCCTCTACGGAGATCTCCGTGAAATGAAAGATGTTGCCTTCTCCTCTAGCTGCCACTGCTGGCTTTCCCCCCTTACATTCTCTAAATTGCCTGGCTATATAATTTATGTAGCAGCTCTATTAAAGTTAAAAGGTTTTTATTTCCTCAACTGCAATGAAACTTGATGAGAGCCCTCCCTATAAGTTATCTTGAGAGTCCTTTCTGGTCACTTCAGCAGGATTCATCTCTAGTAGATTTAATCAGCATTAAGGTATTGCTTGTCTTTAAGAGCTTTACTTAATGTGGTTACTGGATGCCTGGCACAGTGTCATGTTTCTTTTATCATTTTTTTTCTTTTAATGTTTTACCAGGATTGGGACAGGTTAGGCAGTCGTCCTCGAAAGAAATTTGAAGCAACGGGGGGGGGAGAGAAAAAAAAAAAAAATGGAAACGTTTGGTAGGTTCTAGGCAGGAAATGCAGATTCATTTAGAGGTTGTAGATGAAAATGTTACCAAAAGCCATTTGTTGAGTAATGCATCAGATAAAATCAATTTACATAAAGGTATGATGCATTTGGGTACACGAAGATAATGGCTTTTAGAGTGGTTCCGTTTCCCAAGTCCTAGTGTTTTGTTACAGCTTAATAGGCACAGTTCTGATTATGGCAGATTATGTGGTTTTATTTACTGTCCTCTGCAAACAGTCATTGGGATCTGCTGCCACCAACTTCAGACTGTCTGCAAACTTTGTGTTCTGCTGGGATGTCCACGCTTGTGTGTGTGCGCTTGTGTATCTGATGGTTGCTTATGGATAAAACCACCAAAGCAGGATGGCATTGAAGCCTTACTGGATTGCCATAAAGCCATTATCGCATTATGCCAAAGCTTGATTAGAAAATGCATTAGTTCGCTCCCCCAGGATGACATGCTGCTGCAGATCTTCTTTTGAAACGGCAATCTCTGTCTGCTGTCAAGAAGGTAATGCAGCAAGTTCAGCCTTCATATTTTGGTGGTATCAAGTGGGCTATGGAGGTTTCAAGTGTGTTTTGGTGGTATCAAGTAGGTTAGACATCCTGCATATTGTTGTGGAGAACTCTGTAGAAATGGGCAAACTGCTAACTTGGTGGATCTTTATCTGGACCTATGATGGCTTTTATCACCAGGACTTTTTAGGGCAGCACATTACCCTAGTCTATAGGTTTGTTAAAATATCTTCCAGGGAATCTTCAAAATAACAGTGACTACGGTTTGGGGGTCAGATGCCCAATTTTAGCCACCTTACACCTACTCTGTGTACAGTTAGTGGTGCTATAGTTGAGTTGACAGTCAGATGTTTCTTTCCTGACTTTTATCTGTAACTGGAAGCCCTTTGAAGGTGTAGATTCATTGCATTTAAATTGCTGATCAAGGACAGATTAGTGAGACAAAAGTGTCATGTGTTTGTTTAGGCTGTTAACAGGGCTTCCTAAAGTTCAGCACTGTTTGTTTGTCCCAAATTACAAAGCAACATTCATTGATCCCCCTTGACATCAAACGAGATTTCTGCTGATCAGCAGTAATAGAAAATTGATTATAACTGCTACCATAAGAAGAAAAAAAAAGTGTCAGATATCTGAAAAACCGGCCTGACGAGTTCTTTACCCTGTTCTTTGCATGAGTGGTGACAGATTTGTTAAATTACTGTAGTTTTGGTCTTTGAGAGGTCATGCCTGCAGAAAAGACTTGCATGTATTCAAAAGCTTGCACTTTAATCCTCTTAAGTAAACCGATAAAATTATTGTCAGCTTCTAATTATGCATTACTTTTATCTTTAGGTAATGCTCTTTTCAGATATGGAAATTTGCCTTGGTGTCATCTGTATCATCAACCTTTTATTGGCATTCCAAGGGGTGTGTTTTTAAATTAGGGAACTTTGCTCAGGTCTCTACACAGCTAGAGACAGCAGGGGCTGTAAGTAGCAAGTAAAGTGATATCTGGTGGGTGGCACTTCAAGGAAAATCATTGACCCAAAACAAAATAGTCTAGCACTTGGCTGTCTCTGTTACTTAGGTTGGTCCAAATTTTTTGCTACTGTAGTAAACCCAGTAGAAGGTTGAGAACTCCCCATTAATCCTTTTTTTCTTCTTCTTCTTCTGTCCCTTTTCTTTTGCTTTGTGCTTCTTTCTCCCCTTAGATCATGGTGAACCCAGGTAGTAGTGCCCAGCCACCCCCGGTGACCGCTAGCACCCTCTCCTGGAAAAGATGTGCCGGATGCGGAGGCAAGATCGCAGACCGATTCTTGCTCTATGCCATGGACAGCTACTGGCACAGTAGGTGTCTCAAGTGCTCGTGCTGTCAAGCTCAACTTGGGGAAATTGGTACCTCGTGCTACACAAAAAGTGGGATGATCCTGTGCAGAAATGACTACATCAG